TTCTCGTGTATCACAAAAGAGAGAGCTGCGCCGGAAACCGTGTGTGCTCGTGAGACTCGCGGGCAGATTTCCGTGTGGCGTTCGTTCGTTTGAAGTGGTCCCAGGTCCCATTCCAACAGTCAGTTTCGGTCTAGCCCCAGCGTAAAGTTCAGCTCCGATGTATGTAAATGCGCGTCGGATCTATAAACGGCCCTATACACGGCTACTTACGAATACATCGAGTTTTCAAGCTTAGCCCGCATTCGTCTACCTAAAGCTAACTAATCCTAAAATGCACTATCTGCGGTCTTTATCTAATGTAGAAGCCATACAGAGTATTCATCAAAATATTGTATAATTTTCTTGTAAAATGACAAAATTACAATATTTCTAAAATTATATATAAGAAATAAGAAAAATAATAATAAAAAAGGAATAAACTAGCTAGAATTATTTCTCGATCATTGCTCGAAGCTACCGTGATATTTATAATTTTTTTTATTCTTTTATCATAATTCCTCTATATTTTTCTATCACAACTTATGAAGTCTATTTTCTTACTTTTGTCAAGATTAAAATTAAGTAGAGAATATCACACATAATGTTAGACCAGAAGAGATAAATGTACTACAAGGAAAATAGATAAACGGATAGAGATACATCAGCTGCGAAAAGTATTCTCGTACATATACATCTTCTCAATCGTAAGACAATTTCCCGTAATTCCGTAATTAGCTTTTCTTGCTACTCCGCTCGTGTGTATCAAACCGGTCAAAGGAAAGCCTGTTACAAGTTGACATAGATATACCTTTATTCTACAACGACGTACGCTCGAATGCTTTTTGGGGGTAGTGTACCGATTCAGCTGATGCACATTATGCACACAGCGCGCGTCTCCTGCACGGGCTAGCAAAGCCCAACCAACGACACGACGTCGCTGATGCGCGACACGGCTTGCGTAACGCACACGCACGGCCACAACGCCACGCCGGCTGACCCATATGCGCGATCTTTATTTAAACTGGTTTCCTCTTCGGTGTCCTTTAGACCCGACTTTCGTCTGTGCTCCGGTCGCCGGGTCACCGGATTCGAGCGCGTCACTTTCCGCGAGAACTTTGCAGCTCGGAAAAGATCGATCCGTACATACAAGGTGTCTCGCGAAAAGTAAACCGATTAGTCTTGGACTCAGAAAAACAAAATATTGTATAAATAAAATAAGCGTTTTATTCGCACTATATAAATATCCTCTTCTTCACGTAACACATTGTTACTATCTCTCTAATAATTTTTATTTTTTTGTTTTTTCTAGGAAAATTTAATAAGAATAATCCATGATTTGTTTTTCCCATGCAACATATATATATATATATAAACTCTTTTATCCTTATCAAAAATAGAGAACAGATATTATTTTTTACAATGACATAAAATAATGTTTATAAAAAAAATAACGAAAGTAATTGCGAAATGACTCAACTCTTTGCATCGACTACGGTAAAGTTCGAATTTGTCTGAGGTCGACTTATGGAGCCGCAAGAATTTCAATTGCAAATACCCGACTTTGATACCGAAGGGAATGACGAGCCGCCGAGACGAGCGCTTTTTAAGCATCGACGCGAACCCGCCTCGTCGAATATTCTTGTTTCTCAAACGTGCGCAAAGTTTGAATAATACAGCACAGAGAGATAGAGAGAAACAAAGAAAGATAGCGCACAAAAAGAGCAATGCGGAATAAAAATGCATCATTGCGTTTCCATCGATCTCGCCATTTTATGTGTCGACCGTATGGACTTTGAAATCTCTTTAGAATTAAAAAATAACAATTAAAAAATGTGAATTAATCATAATTTATAATTATAAATGTTCCTGCCTAATTCTACGCATTTTATATAAATCCATTCAAATGTCACGATGCGATGAACGTATTTCATTTTACAGGTTGTGAAAATATCAAAGTTATAATTACATTTCATCATTTCTGTAAACTAGATTCTTCTTATATATTATTTTGTTACTTGTATAATAAACTGTTATTTTTATATAATCATTAAATTCTTTTTATTTTATATTTCATCAAAATGCTTATTTGTTTATTTTATTACATATTATTTGTTATGCTACAAATAATCGAGAATACTAAAAAATTCTAATAACATTAGCACACTTGTCTTATCTTGACTGATTAGCTACTTGCTAGTAAGCATGTAACTTATAATCAAACATATAGTCAAACAAATATATAGTCAAACGCAGGCCTGATACTCGTCTCTCAATTACGTTCGCATAATATTCCGGATATACTCAAGCAACGTAATACGAGATCACTCGTATCAGATTTCGCAGCTTCTAATCGAACAAGCGTTACAAGTATAGCTTTATATCTAGTTGTTTGCATGCTGTCATAAGACAATTTAGCTTTTGTATCATGGGACGAATTGTAATATGATTCGGAAAAACAAGATTCTATCCTTCCATCCAGCCACTCACATGTCTAGAATTTTTTACTTCTTTTATATTCTGTATACCACAATAAAAGTGATATTATAAAAGTCCCATATTTTTTTTTGAAATTCTGCATTTGTTTCTTCATTTTTCCTTTTATAATAGAATATCAACTTTAGAGAGCATTTTACTCACATTTCTCGTCTATTGTTCAATCGGATTATGTGAAATACAATCTTTGACGGTCCGTACAACGTGAAACGCAAATTCGCAGGGTGGTCTTCGCGCTTATAGTCTTCGTAATCAACGCGCGTATTCCCGCAGGACCCTCGGAGCTGTTACAACCGATATACCGTTATTGCGACAGCGCAGCAGATCGGAGAGACAACTTCGTAACCAGCCGGATTGTTCTCTCTCGAGAAGACGCGGCGTGAATTCTCGAGGTTCTGCAACGATGCAAATGCGCGTGGTCGTATTTGCAAATCGATCGCGACAAAGGCAACGAGAACGAGCGAAAGGGAAGCGGAAGAAGCATCCCGTTGAATTTCGCCGAATCGGTTCACGCCATCCCGAATAAGTACGTGAATTCTGGAGACGGTCGCGAAAACTATGAATTGTGTCGTGCACGTTTTAGTCTCGCGTATAATTCCCGAGAGAAGGTACCGGTTCCTAGGAAAGTACCGTCGTTTCGCGTATCTCACGGTTCGAGCAGTCGCATCATCGTTATGCAAACATCAAATTTCCACGGATCACGCATCCGAACGTCAGGTTTCGCGACATTCATGATTCCGAAGAGGAAGAAGGAGAGAGCGAGAAAAAGAGGGGAAGGGATTATTAGATGGCATTCTATTAAAAAAAAAAAGAGGTTTGATTTATGGTGCTCGTGTTGTGATACGAATTATATCCTTTGTTGTAAGAAAAAAACTGAACGAAATATTGTTCTTTGTCGAAAAAGATCACGCGATTAATGAAAATACATGGAGATTCAATTAAAGAAAAATAATACTCTACTAAATCAAACAGAAAATAAATTTCCATTTTGATATTTGTTTGATTTTTTCATCGTATACATATATCAAATTCTTCTGAAATTTAGTTTAACGGAATATTTTTGCAAAGAACATTAGAATATCATATTATATTATCGGCTTCACAGAGAGTTAAAATTTGAATTTAAATTTAATATCCATATTCATATAAGCGTGCCATCAACTTATGTATAAAAAGTTCCTTTATAGTAAAAGTTACACCACGAATATACACTAATTTGTTAAATCTAATGCGCATACGCGTATATTTATAATAAAACCGTGACCATATAAACCCATGCGCTTCCGAGTTCTGTCCGACAAACTCAGGGGCCTGTTAATACAGCGGGATTAACAAGCGCCGCCTGGTCGAAGGGTGAGCGACTCTCGTCCCTTAATCACAACACTACCAAATGTTACTCGACGATAACTGTATTAGGCTCGATAAAATACCAGACTCGCACCCTCTGGCTTCCCGTTTGTTTGCCAAGCCGAAATGTCCCGCATCGGCTTCACAGAGAGTTAAAATTTGAATTTAAATTTAATATCCATATTCATATAAGCGTGCCAGCTTATATGTATAAAAAGTTCCTTTATAGTAATAGTTACACCACGAATATACACTAATTTGTTAAATCTAATGCGCATACGCGTATATTTATAATAAAACCGTGACCATATAAACCCATGCGCTTCCGAGTTCTGTCCGACAAACTCAGGGGCCTGTTAATACAGCGGGATTAACAAGCGCCGCCTGGTCGAAGGGTGAGCGACTCTCGTCCCTTAATCACAACACTACCAAATGTTACTCGACGATAACTGTATTAGGCTCGATAAAATACCAGACTCGCACCCTCTGGCTTCCCGTTTGTTTGCCAAGCCGAAATGTCCCGCCGCGCAAACATTCGCGCAGATCGTACAAGCCTCTACCTTCTTTCCCTCCCTCGAGAAACTCTCACGGTCGCGCGAGTGGCATTACGGGATTATTAGCGGACGGAAGCTCCGCAGGCGTCTCCTATATCGGAAGCAATTGCCTACATATTTGATGAACGATGGCTGTAGAACGGCGCGCACGGCATTACCGTCACCTTTTTCAGCATCGTTCCCCTGTGATCTCGGCACATGAGCGTGCGTGAAACTCTATATGTTGGAATCAATACTTTCGACGTGAGTATCAAGATTCCTTTACCCAAACAACTGTTCGGGCGTGGATATACATATACACTACGATGTATTTCTTGTACAATTCATTCAAATTTATTACGACGAGAAAATCAAATACACACAGCGACGCAACGTAATAATATAAAGACAAAGCTTGAATTATTAATAAATTATTAGATTTCTTTATGCGAGATTTCTCGCTTCTTTAATCATCATTTGGCCAAATATGCAAGTCGCAGCCATTAACAGAAATTATCGACCAATTATATTCAGTTTGCATAATTTAAAATGGACGCAATCATTCGAGGTAATATTCAGTTATTAAACGAAGCGATACTGTGCGCATTGCTTTTATCGCCGCATATTAATTTAACGTTGCCTACTCACCGAGTTAATGGCTGTCATGCTGCTAACTCGACCTGGATCTGTGTCCACTAGCCCGCTGTCACTCTGTAACAGATATAGGAAAATAGCAAATTAGAGCGTAAAGATCGATAATTTCTATTTCATTACTATTTACGTCGCACTGAATGTCGAGTAAATTGCTATCGCGCATTAAAGCGCATTGGTATTCAAAGGAAAGGAAAGGAGACATTTAAGAGAAAATCCTTTCATGTCGTGTTTTCGAAGTGTAGAGGCGAATAATTTTCGAATGCAAAATTACAAGCGACGCGAATTGTTAACAATTTCGGAAATGCAATATTGTGGAAAATGTACAGCATTCATATGAAAATTATTCGCGCTGTATCCCGGCGTATTCAAAAGCTGAGTGCACTACACTATCCGTTATGAAATTTTCTGTAATCACTCGCTAGAACTGAGTTTCATCGAATACGTGCTGTTTTCCGTGTTAGTTATTGCTTCATGATGAATTAATCGAGATCAAACTTCAAATTTAAACAGAAAGTCTATCCGAAAATTAAAATAAAATATTAACGTTATATAAATTAATTTCCTTCTTTTTCAAATATTTCAACGCGTTGCAAATATAAATAATTTCTTATACGTATTTAAAAAAAAATATTCCAAATTGTATTCGATAATATAGTTCGGATTGCGTAAAGTACACGGAAAATATGATATCGAAAAGATACGAAATACCTCAAACAGATGCATCGAACATTCTGTGGTATTTTTCCTCGTCATTCAACGCATTAGATATTCTTTATATTCTGTGTATCGCGTTCGTATATTTCACGAAGGTGGACTGTTTCTTCCGCTCGCTAACATCCGGCGCGTTTCAATTTCGCGATTAGCAAAACGTGCTCTCGCCGAATTCATTCGCCTCGAAAATCTTTCAACCGTCTGATATGCCATTCTCGAAAATATTCGAGCTCGCTATCGGTCACTGGCAACGGATCTCTTCTAGCGGGCACCGGGATTACCGAGACGGAAATTCTACGGTAAGGAAACGACTGCGAGCCACTCCGTCAAAGGAGAGAAGAGACGAAATGACAAGAAACCGAGAAACTAACTGGCCTTCGAAAGAGTGCAGCAAAGAAATAGTACAAAGGGCGATGACGACGGCGGCGGCTACGAAACCAAAACGAAAGAGCCGACGTGTAAATGTCGTTCTGAACTTTGATCGTAAAACAGCGGCAGACTTCTCGGGTGGGTGGAGCATCCGTCTTGAACCGCTGCCAAATCGGTTAAGCGCGAATAAATTTCCGTGTCAAACTTCGTACGAAGGAACGAACGTACGAAAGAGCCGACGCGACGGTTCCGCGTGTCGGGCAAGGTTGGACCTGCACTACGGAAATGGGACGGTGGCTTTAATATTTGTTTGGACAAAAGAGACCGTGAAGTTATAATGAAATAAAAAAAAAAAAGAAAGAAAGAAAAAGATAGGAAGAAGGCATAAATCAATGTTCTCTAATAATATCAATTATATTATATTATATTAATATGCAATTTATGACGGAGACAGTCTCGGCAAAATTTTACTATATGTTTTAAAAAGATAATCTTATGACTGAGCAAAAATTATTAAAAACAGTCAATCAAAATTGTAAATAAATTGCAAAATCTCAATAACTTTATACTATTAAAGTTCTCTATATAAAACATTATTATTTTTAAAGCAAGCCTATTTCATAATCGAAGAAAAAATTTTAGACGAAAGAAATATATCGTTATTTTATAAAAATTTATTATTT